GTTGTTGTTGTTGTTGCTGCTGTTGTCGTTGTTGGTGGTGCTGCTGTTGTTGTCGGTATTGTTGTTGTTGATGCTGTTGTTGTTGGTGCTGCTGTTGTTGTTGTTGCTGCTGCTGTTGTTGTTAATGCGGTTGTTGTTGTGATTGTTGTTGTTGCAGTTGTCGTTGCTGTTGTTGGTGCTGTTGTTGTTGTTGCTGCTACTGCTGTTGTTGTTGTGGTTGTTGTTGTTGTTGTTGTTGTTGTTGTTGTTGTTGTTGTTGTTGTTGTTGCTGCTGCTGTTGTTGTTGTTGTTGTTGTTGCTGTTGTGGTTGTTGCTGTTGCTGTTGTGTTTCCCTACCTAGGCTCTGCCTAGAAGGGTTCTTACTCTCTATCTTAAAGGGGCCGGGCAGTGTTGCCCGGCCCGGGCGGTTCCCCCAGTCCCCTGGGAGCGGTTCCCCTAGTCCCCTGGGAGCTTTAGCTTTAGCCTTAACCTTAGCTTTAGCTGAGCTTTAGCTTAGCTTTAGCTTAGCTTTCGCTTAGCTTTCGCTTAGCTTTCGCTTAGCTTTCGCTTAGCTTCAGCTTAGCTTCAGCTTAGCTTCAACTTAGCTTTAGCTTAGCTTTAGCTTAGCTTTAGCTTAGCTCTAGCTTAGCTTTACCTTAGCTTTAGCTTAGCTTTAGCTTAGCTTTAACTTAGCATTAGCTTAGCGTTAGCTTAGCTTTCGCTCAGCTTTAGCTTAGCTTTAGCTTAGCTTTAGCTTAGCTTTAGCTTAGTTTTGCTGTTACTACTAATGCTGCTTTCCTAGGGGCTCCAACTCCTAGGTAGGGTCGCACTGGGATAATTTGTCTCTCCCTCCCTCTCTCTCTCTTCCTCTCCCTCGGCGGGAACCATCGAGGAACATCCTGGACCATCTGACAAGAAAGGCGCGCACGGCACCGAACGATGCACGGGGAGTGGACGTCCGAGCAATGGCAAGGCTTGGCAGGGGTCCCTGGGAGAAGGCACGGCGCCAGGGGTTTTGGCACTGCCGAGAGCGGCGGGGCAGATCGCGGATCGCGATGTTCTTCTCCGGGCGTGCGTGCTGTTCACCCAGCACAGATCGGAGGAGGTACACCTGGCACGAATCAGAGGAGACAGATGACTGGTAAAGGGCAGACGGAGAAGGAGGGCTACGATCAAGAGGCGGGGCGGGATGGAGCAGCATGGAGATGATGAGGAACATAAACAAGGCATGACACTTACGATGAGGACGAGGGGGAGGCGGAGGAGGAGGCGGAGGAGGAGGCGGATGAGGAGGAGGAGGAGGAGGAGGAGGAGGCGGAGGAGGAGGAGGAGGAGAGGAGGAGGAGGAGGAGGAGGAGGAGTGAAGGGGAGTGGAGAAGGAGGCCGAGGGAGGGAGGCGGGCGAACCCGAGCGTGCTGCGGAGGAGGGGCCCTTTGGATCAGAGGTGCCGGCTCTGTCCACGGAGTGCTCCCTGGGCTCCCCCCGGAGGGTCCCGAGATCCCCTCCGCTCGGGGTCCCCCCTCCTCCTCCTCCTCCTCCTCCTCCTCCTCCTCCTCCTAAGCTTTCGGGCTGCGGTCGGGAGCTTTGGCTTCGCGTGGCGCGCTTCTCGGCGCGACGCGCTGTCAACTTCGCGGCCCCCGAGCGTCAGCGTCCCGAGCCTTTCCGAGCACCCATCGACTACAACATTGATTTACCCCAGAATTAATTTGCTCGTCGAGTCTACGAAAATATGTAAAATAACCCGTATATCTACGAACATTCTACGTATTTTTCTCGTGAAGCCGACACGAAAGTCAATGCTAGGGTAAATCAATTCTGTAGTCAATCCCTTACTCGAAGAGTGGGAGTGAGAGGGAGGCGCGCCGACGGCCCAGGGGTTCACAAGGTGTCGTCGGCACCATGTTTTTGTTGCGACCGCCCCGACGGCGCCCCGCCCGGGCGCACGGTCGGGCCGAGAATTGCAAGATCGAGGCCGGTCTTCGGGGAGGTTACGCACTCCGAACTTCTTATGAATCAACCGGGGGGTGACAAACGTGAAAACGCGGCGCGGCCAACCCCCCCCGGCACCACCCCCGCGCCCCAGCTTTGGAAGCCCGAAATGGGTACGGAAAGAATGGGCACAGTGCCCAACAACAGATGCTGTCCCAAACCAACAGCGGCCGCTGTTGGGCAGGCGGCCTTTTGTCTCGAATGGGCACAGGCCGCGACGGCGTGGACAGCGAGGCCTGTTCAAAATGAACAAGATCCGCTGTTGGGCATTGTACCCATTCTTTCCGTGCCCATTTCGTTCGTGCGCCCCAGCGGGGAAGGGAACGAACCTCAGACCCGCCCTGGCACCCCCACGGACGCAAGGCGGCCAACGCCCCTGGGCACTCAAAGGGGGGGGCGATTACTAAGCGATCCGGCGTACCCTGAGGTTCTTCGTGCTTGTTGGATGTTGCTGTGCATCCTGTGGGAGGGTGCCCTCGAAGGTTCTTCAGTCTGGCCAGCGGAGGGTCTCGTGCTCTCGAGGAGTGTTTTTCTGTCCGAGGTCCGGCTGCAGCCTAGGAACCCCGCGCGAGACCTCCGGAGCCGAATGTATCATTGGGGGCAGTGCGCGTCGGGGACTGAGACGAGGTTCGAAAGCGTGCGGAAGGTCGGCGTCTGGAAGAGACGGCTCCCCAAGAGGTGGCAATCTCTTTCAGTTCAGGACGCAGTCCAAGCGCATGCACCCAGCAGAAATCTCAAGGATAAAATCCGCTCTCATGGGCTCCAGATTTCGCTCAAGTTCGGTAGCAAATCATTGGAGCATTGTACACCCTCGCAATTCCGTCTTTAGCGTCGACTCGCGTCGGCTAGCATCCGGGAGTCGATGAGACAGCGCCGACTTAGCGTCGGTTAGCGTCGATTTAGTGTCGATCAGTGTCGACTAGCGTCGACTAGCGTCGACTAGCGTCGATTCGCGTCGATTCGCAACAGCCGACAAAGATGGCATGGGAGGCTCCTCCTCCTCCTCCTCCTCCTCCTCCTCTTCCAGCTCCTCCTCCTCCAGCTCCTCCTCCGCTTCCAGCTCCTCCTCCTCCAGCTCCTCCTCCTCCTCCCCCTCCTCCTCCTCCTCCTCCTCCTCCTGTCCTCCAGAAGGATGCCCTCCTGCCCGGGGTCCGGCCGTGCCCCCCCCCCCCATCGCCGGGGCCGCGCTGGTGGCCCGCGCGGGTCCCCGACCGGCCCGGGCCACCCCAGCCCGGCCCGGTCGCCTTCCGCTTCCCTGCCTGGCGCCTTCCCTTTCGGGGGCGGAAAAGAGGGGGGTGAGGACTAGGGGGGGGTGGATATCATGGCGGGGGCCATGATTTTCCCCCAGATTTCATGGCGCCTCTTCTTATTTCATTACGTCCCTGGCCCCCCCGCTGGGCCGCGCACATGCCGCCGGTCATGATTTGCACCCCCCCCTCTTGGACACCCCCCTCTTGGCCGCTCCCGACTCCCTGGTGCCCCCCAGCTGTGGTCGACTGGGCGTAAGAGTGACCTTTCGCCGGAGTGACCCGTGGTGCGGGCACAGATGGCCCCTCCGATGGCTGAAAACGAAGCGGTAGCAGCGGCTTGCGCGCCCAGGCTTGGTCTCCCCGCGGCCCCCAGGAAGCCGCGCACCAAAGGTCACTCTTACCCAGGGTCACTCTTGCGTGTAGCCGATGTGGGGTGCCGAGGCCTTGCGGTGAATGGGGAGCCCCAAATACAGTCGACCCGCATGCTTCGGCCCATCCTCAGCGGCTTTCCCTGGCCAATCTCGTGCGGAAAACGTCAACTTGGCTTCATAAGGTCCTTGTATCCTTACCGCGCATCCTTATGATACGGGTTGACTGTATTCTCCTCCGACCATCTGTCAGGACGATCGAGATAGGTACGTCGGCGGCGAGCTTGGGGGGGCAGTGCGAAGGTGTGGGCCTTCTCGGAAGACTCGGAATTCCCCCGGCCTTCTGAGGAGTTTCTAACCCTTTACCGAAGACGCAGAAAACTTTTCAGAAGGCGCAAGGGCTTCTGAGAAGTCCCGCCGCCTTCCGAGAAGGCCTTCTCCTCCTTACTTCCCCCTCGCTCGCCGCCGAGTGCAGAATGAACGGGTACAAAGACCGACAGCAGTTCCTGATCGCTCTGACCAGGACTCGCTGTCGGCAAGGCCGCGGCGGGCTGTGTTCGTTTGAGGCAGCAGGACGCCTGCCCAACAGCGGCCGCTATTGCTTTGGGACAACCTCTGCTGCTGGGAATTGCTCCCTGGGAGGAGGAGGAGGAGGAGGAGGAGGAGGAGGAGGAGGAGGAGGAGGAGGAGGAGGAAGAGCAGGAGGGGGGAGGGGGAGGGGGGAGGGGGGGGAGGGGAGGAGGAGGAGGGAGGAGGAGGAGGAGGAGGAGGAGGAGGAGGAGGAGGAGGAGGAGGAGGAGGAGGAGAGCTGCAGGGGGGAGGGCGTCCCACCTCGGGCGTCCACCACCGTCTCCCGCCCTCCTCGCCGCTGCCCGCTCGGTCGGCCGCGCCTCCTCTGGGCTCGAGCCCTCCATTCCACTCCATGGCAGCCCGCCGCGCCGGCGGCGGGCCCCCTCCGTAGTCACCTAAGCCCCGCGCGGGGTGCGCGCGGATCCCCCCCCCCTGGCGCGGCGCCCAGAGCCGCCACTTCGGGGCGCGGGCGATCGGCGCGCGGTCTCGGAGCAGTGGGGGGGGAGAGCGGGGATGGGCGAGGCGGAGGGGGCGCCGGGGGCGGGGAGGAGGCATGGGGGGTGCGGGGGAGGACGGGGAGGTGGGCGACGGCGTGGTGGAAGGGTGAAGGGACGCGTGTGAAGCATCCTCATGAGGGTGACGGCGCTGTTGCCCCTGCCGCTGCTGTTGCTGACGATGGTGATGGTGATGATGACGGTAATGATGGTAATGATGATGATGATGATGATGATGATGATGATGATGATGATGATGATGATGATGATGATGATGATGATGATGATGATGATGATGATTGATGCTGATGATGATGATGATGATGATGATGATGATGATGCTGTTGCTGCTGCTGATGATGATGATGACGATGCTGATGATGATAGTGATGATGACAAATATGATGATGATGATGAGATGATGATGATGACGATGATGATGATGATGATGATGATGATGATGATGATGATGATGATGATGATGATGCTGATGATGATGATGATGATGATGATGATGATGATGACGATGATGATGATGATGATGACGATGGTGATGACGATGATTGCGACGATGCATGCTGACGGGTGTGATGATGGTGGTGGTGATAATCGTGATGAAGCTAGCAATGGTGATGGTGGCGATGGTGTTGATGGTGATGATGATTCTGACGACCATGCTGATGAGTATGATGATGATGCTTTTAATGATGATGATGATGATGATCATGATGATGGTGATAGTCATGGTGATGGTGATGGTGATGATGCTGATGGTGGTTGTGGTGACGATGCTCTTGATGCTGATGCTGATGATGATGCTGCTGATGACGATGATAAGGATGCTGTTGACGGTGATTGTGGCGATGCGTACATATGGTGGTGGTGATGATGATTGTGATGTAGTTGGTGATTGCGATTTTCATGGTGGTGGTGATGATGATGAGGATGATGACGATGAGTATGATGATGATGATGGTGATAATGATGACGATGATGCTGATGCTGTTCATGACGATGATGCTGAACATGATGATCATGATGGCAATGCGCGACGTAGGATGTGCAATATGTCTGAGGCGTAGGAGGGGAGGAGGGAAGAGGATGAGAGGGTGACGAAAAGGAGGAGCAGGGGGGTATGCATGACGAGGAATGTGAGGTGACAGAGAAAGAGAACACGAGGATTTCTGGACGCAGTCTGAGGATCAGACGGGGGGAAGTAGGAGGATGAATCTGAGGTGGATGGTGTTGGTTATGATGGTGATGGTCATGGTGATAATGGTGATGCTGGTGATGGCGATGCTGATGCTCCTACTGGTAATGATGTTGATACTGACGATGGTGATGATGATGATGGTGATGCTGATGAGGACGATGATGACAGTGATCTTAATGATGAGCATCACGAAGTCTGTCATGCTAATGAGATGATGATGCTGATGACGATGATGATGATTATGATGCCGTCGACGATGACGATGACGATGACGATGTTGATGATGCTGATGATGATGATGGCGATGATGATGATGATGATGCTGGTGATGATGATGATGATGCTGATGCTGCTGCTGATGATGATGATGATGCTGATGCTGATAATGATGATGCTTGTTCTGTTGATGATGATGCTGCTGATGATGATAGCTGTTCTTGAAGAATAATGATTGTAGATCCCCCTCTGATGCCCGTTGTGTTTTTCAATTGAAGTGCCCCTCCCGGAGCTCGGACCTTGTTTTTTACCAGTTGAAGTCTTGAACCTCAGATTTGTCCGCTGGCCCCCGAACTACAACACTGGCTCCCGCCTGAGACTTCCTCACAATTGAACCAAGATCAAGCTCTCGCGCGGGACGTCCTCAGCATTTATCCAGGATCGCGCTCTCGCGACGCACGTCCTCACAATTGCTCGAGGCGCCGCGCCCCCGAAAACCCACAGGAGCCACGCTCGCGCGATGTACTGGGGAACCGCGTTATATCGCTCGAGACTTCCTCGCGACTCACGCAGGACCGAACGCTTCCGCGACCCGCCCGCTCGACCCCGCCGTCTGGGCCCGCCCGCCCGACCCGCCCGTTAGGATCCACCCGCCCCACCCGCCCGTCTGGTCCTGCCGCTTGCTTGTCTGCTCCAACTCCCTCTCCTGCTAATCCCTATCGTGCCCCATCCTTACTACATCTCCCCGTTGTCCCTTCCCTCCCCCGTTCTCCTGTTTTGTGGGGGGGCTGCGCCAACTACACGTGGCAGGTCCGGGAGATATGCTCCCAAGGGGCTTGTGTTCGAAGACGAAGAGGGGTGTTATCGATGGTTCGGGGTATACATGTAGGACGATACGCGAGCAGGCAAGAACGGACAATCTTATAAACAGATCGTTGTTAAACATCCCCACTTCTAAATAATGGTTATTGTTGATCCCTCTCCGGTGCCCATAAAGTGCCCCTCCCGGGGCTTGCACCTGATTTTTCTCCAAGGGAAAGTCTCGGGCGTCAGACTGGCCCCTTGGCCCCCGAACTACAACAACAGCGGCTCCCGCCTACAGAATCGCGCTCTCGCGCGGGACGCCCTCACATTTTATATCCAGGAATCGCTCTCTCGCGTCGAGCATCCTCGCAGTTGACTGACACGCCGCGCCTCCAAGCACTCATGAAGCACCCTCTCGCCCTGGATTTCCCTACGGTTCACTTGGGAGTGGCGTCGTAAGGATGAGAAGGACAAGGAGATGGAGGAGGAGGAAGAGGAGGAGGAGGAAAACGAGGAGGAGGACGAGGAGGAGGATGATGAGGAGGATGTGGAGGAGGACGGGGAGGTGGAGGAGGAGGAGGAGGAGGAGGATAAGGAGGAGGAGGAGGGTTTGCAGTGAGGATGAGGGCGCGGATGCTCGAGGAGGAGGAGGAGGAGGAGAAGAGGATCAGGCGGATGCTGATGATGACGACAATGATGATGTTGATGTTGATGTTGATGTTGACGATGATGATGACGTTGAGGATGATGACCATACTCATGCCAACGATTCATATGATGGTCATGCTGGGGATGATGATGTTGATGATGACGACGACGAGGATGATGATGTTGATCTGGTTGATGATGATGATGATGATGATTATTCTGATTCTGGGGATGCTGATGAGGACGATGCTAACCATGCTGAGTACGACGTCCTCGACGACGATGATGATGACGAGGCTGATGATGACAATGATGATGCTGATGATGATGATGCTGCTGCTGATGATGATGGTGATGATGATGGTGATGATGATGATGATGATGGTGGGGCTGGTGATGATGCTGATGCTGCTGATGATGATGATACTGGTGCTGATGCTGGTGATGCTGATGCTGACGCTGATGCTGCTGATGCTGATGATGCTGCTGCTGCTGTTGATGATGCGTGAAGATGATGACGATGCTGACGATGACGATGACGGTTATGCCGATGGTGATAATGATACTGGTGGTGATGATGATGGTGGTGATGTTGATGATGATGATGCTTGCGGTGATGATGATGGTGACGATGCTGACGCTGATGATGCGGACGATGCCGATTGTGATGATGCCGATGGTGGTGATACTCGTGCTGCTGATGATGATGCTGCAGATGACGGTGATGATGATGAGGATGATGATGGTGATGATGTTGACGACGACACGGATGCTGCTGCCGATGATGTGATGATGTTGTTTATGCTGATGATGACGATGATGATGATGATGCTGATGCTGAAGATGATGGTGATGTTGATGACGACGATGATGCTGAATTTGTTGATGATGATGAGACTTATGGGGATGCTGATGAGGACGATGCTAACCTGGTGTCTACGACGACGCCGACGACGATTATGATGCTGACGACGACGAGGATGATGCTGGTGCCGATGCTGCTGATGCTGATGCTGATGACGATGATGATGATGATGATCGTGGGGCTGATGAAGCTGATGCTGATGCTGATGCTGATGGTGATGATGCTGGTGCTGATCATGATGATGCTGCTGCTGATGATGCTGACGATGCTGATGAGGATGCTGATGCTGATGCTGATGCTTCTGATGCTGATGCTGCTGATGAGTGGTGATGCTGATGATGATGCTGACGATGACGATGACAATGCCGATGCCGATGATGATGATTACCATGCTGATGCTGCTGATGGTGATGATGAAGACGGTGGTGGCGATGGTGATGATGATGGTGGTGATGATGATGATGATGATGATGATGATGGTGACGATGATGATACAGATGACGATGCTGATGCTGATGCTGATGCCGATGATGATGATGATGATGATGATGATGATGATGATGATGATGATGATGATGATGATGATGATGATGCTGCTGCTGATGATGATGATGGTGATGCTGATCATGACGAGGACCGAATATGAGGAGGAGGAGAAGGAGGAGGAGGAGGAATATCGAGGTCGAGGAGGAGGATGAGCCAGAGGAGGAGATGAGGAACCGCAGCTGGCAGGAATAGGCGGGAGGAGGTGGTGCGGGAGCCGCCCATCAAGCAAGGCACGTCTCGCGATGAGCGTGGGGCCGCTGGTGTCCGCCTCAGCCTGGCCCCGATCAGCCGATCTGTTCGACCTTAGCCACCAGGAGGAGGCCCTCGCGTCGTGAAGAGTGCACGGCGGCATGCTTTCCTTTTTCGTTTTTTTGTCATCTATTGTTGCGGTCTGTTTTTCTCTTTTCTGCTTCGACCTTTCTGTTGTCTGTTGTCTGCCTTGTCTCTTTTGTCGTCTCTGTTGCCTGTTGCCTCTTTTGACCTCTCTGTTGTCTGTTGTCTGTTTCGACCTCTCTGTCATCGGGTGCTTCTCGTGTCGTCTCTTGCTGCTGCCTGTGGTTTTCGTTGTCGATTTCGACCTCTCTCTGGGCCCTCAGCCAGCCCCCCGAGACCGCAGCAGGACCGACCCAGGATGGAAGACGGGTCCCGAGAAGCGGGTCGGCACTCTGTGTTTTTTTTTGATCTGCAGGGCGAGAGCGAACCTCTTCCGCTGAAAGCTAAGCGGGACATGCACGGCTTTAATTAGCAGAGAAAGGGCGGAAGAAGGCGGGGACTCACGCGGCCGGGAGAGGGCGAAGCCCAGGGAGCAGGCGGTGCCGAAGTTGACGTGCAGAGGTCGACACTCTACACATGGTTCATGTTTTATTCGTCTCGCGGGCAACCCCGAAATAGCACGCATAGCTCTTACGTATCCGTTCCGCCCCGGTATCAGAAACGAGCGGCTTCAGAAAGGACATCCCCTCCGAAACACGGGTCTTCGTGGTTGTCTCCTTTTTGCCTCCACCTCCCGTCCCCTTCTCCCGACATCGTCCGTCCGTCGAGACTCTCGGCCCCAGGGGTCCACGTTGTGCAAAGATCACGACGTCGGGGGTCTGCAGGGCTCGCGTGCCTTGAAGGATGTGCGGGTTCTGAGGGGGACGGGCCCCGGACCTCCTCTTCTTCTTCTTCTTCTTCTTCTTATTCTTCTTATCCTTATTACTATTCTTCCTCCTCTTCCTCCTGCTCCTCCTCCTCCTCCTCACTTTCCCCTTCGGGCCAGCCACTTATCCCAATTTGATTTTTGTTGTGGCAGTCCAGGGGCCCGCGGAGGGCCCTGGGGGCCCCAGAAGACAGGATCCTCTTCTTTTCATGGCAACTCCTTCTCCCTCTCCTCCTCTCCTCCCTGCTCTCCTCCCTCCTCTCTCCTCTCCTCCCTGCTCTCCTCCCTCCTCCTCTCCTCCCTGCTCTCCTCCCTCCTCTCCTCTTCTCCCTCTCCTCCTCTCCTCCCTGCTCTCCTCCCTCCTCTCTCCTCCGTTTCTTTTTCTGGCTGCCATACCTTTTCTAGTCGAGCGGCACAGACGCAGCAGTTTCAGCATCGGTTTCGTAGCCAGTCATGCCGTGAAGCTCATCTTGGATCGCAGGAGTTCCGTTCCGTTCTTCTTTTCCCCCGCGCGACTCCCCCATACGAGCCGGCGTCGTGGAAGCACTGGGACATCGTTCACCGTCGCTGCCAGGACCCCGGGCCCGAGCTGTCCTCGGCACTTCTCGAGCCGAGCCGATCCGTGGTCGGGCCCCTGGGCCCGAGAGAGAGAGAGCGAGCTCGCCCGGTGCGACAGAGTGCGACGCCAGGATCTCGGGGGTCGTACCGTCGGGGCCCTGAAGAAGGAACCCTTTTGGTTGGGGAGGGGCTCCGCGTTCCTTAGGTGTTTCACAGCTTGCCTCAGGTTTTCCTTATGTTTTCGATCGGAAATCGAAGTTCAGCTTATGGAAAAAGGGGCCTCGTTCCTTATTTAGGGTTCCTTAGGTCAACGCCCCGACTGTACCGTGGAGCTTATCGCAGGTGTTCCGTTCCGTCCCCGTCCTCTCCCGCCACGGCCCTCGGAGGAGGGAGGAGGGAGGAGGGAGGAGGGAGGAGGGAGGAGGGAGGAGGGAGGAGGGAGGAGGGAGGAGACGGCGACGACGAACACGGGGGGAGGGGGGTGCGACGCGGAAGAAGAAGGTCGGGGCGGAGGGGGCAATGGGAGAGGTTCCACTGGGCCGCTGGGGGAACGTGGTGAGGGGGGGCGGGGTGCGGGGACGGGGGGGGGGGGTGGTGCGCGCGACGCGGAATAAAAGGTCGGGGCGGAGGGGGTATTGGACAGGGGTTCCACTGGGCCGCTGGGGAACGTTAGTGAGGGGTAGGAGGGGTGCGGGGACGGGGGGGGGGGGTGCGGTGCGGCGCGGAATAAAGTGGTCGGGGCGGAGAGGGCATCGGGCGGAGGTTCCATTGGGTCGCTTGGGAACGCCGGGGAGGGACAGGGGGGGTCGGGGAGGAGGGGGGTGCGGTGCGACGCGGAATAACACGGTCGGGGCGGAGGGGGCAATGGGCAGAGGTTCCATTGGGCCGCTGGAGAACGCCGGGGAGGGGTAGGAGGGGGGCGGGGGGGGCGCGGCGCGACGCGGAATACAATGGTCGGGGCGGAGGGGGCACTGGGCGGAGGCTCAACTGGGCTGCTGGGGAACGCGGGGTAAGGGGCAGGAGAGACGCGGGGAGGGGTGGTGCGGTGCGACGCGGAATCAGATGGTCGGAGCTTTAGGCACCCTGTGCAAGAGACTAACAAGAGGCACGTGTGCCAAAGATCATACTATCACGGGTGGGGTGCAAGGAGGGATGGCGATGGCGGCAATCTCTGGCTGGTGGGGCAAATGTGGGAGGGGGGAAGGAAAAGAGAGGAGAAGCGGGCGGAGGACAGGGAGAGGATGGGGGCACGGCCGGTCGGAAGAAGGCAGGGGAGGCACGGGACGGGCAGAGGGGAGGGGGCACGATCGGTTGGAGTATGCCAGGGAGGGACACGGAGGACAGGGGGGCGGGGGCACGGCCGGTCGGAAGAAGCCCAGTGGGGGGGGGGGGGAGCTCGTGGGGGGGGGCAACAAGGCCACGGGACGGGGACAGGGCACGGGACAGGGAGAGGGGAGGGGGCACGGTCGGTCGGAATAGGCCAGGGGGAGGCACAGAGGACGGGAAGGCGTGGCCACGGTCGGTCGGTTTTCCCCTCATTCCCCCGCCCCTCCCTTCCCACGCTCCCCACCCCAGCGTTCCCCAGCGGCCCAGTGGAACCTCCGCTCAATGCCCCCACCCCTCCACCCCGACCGTGCTATTCCACGGCACATCGCGCCCCGCCCCGCCGCACCTCCCCCCCCTCCCCCCGCCACCCTCCCCCCCGCCCCGGCGTTCCCCAGCGGCCCTGTGGAACCACCGCCCAGGCCTTCCTCCGCGCCGACAGTTTCATTTCGCGTCGCACCACGCCCCCTCTTCTCAGCCCCCCATCCCTTCTCTCCTCGGCGTTCCCCAGCGGCCCAGTGGAACCTCCGCCCAGCGCTCCCCTCTGCCCCGACCATCTTGTTCCGCGTCGCACGGCGCGCCCCGTCCCCGCACCCCATGGCCCCACTCCCCAGCGTTCCCCAGCGGCCCAATGGAACCCCCGCCCGCCCCGTGCCCCCTCCGCCTCCGTTTCGGGTCCCTGGGGAGTTCTTCGGATCCTCTGTATCGGGGTTGGACAGACCTCCTACCTGGACATCTCGATTCAGGAATTGGCCGTTTTCTCATTTTTGCGGGTCCAGGTCCGTCGGTTTTGGTCCCAGGCCGTTTTCACTAAGGGGAGGTGTACTGAAGGGAGGTTTGTCCACCTCCGACTGTAGACTTTTTGGGTGTTTGTTGGAGGCCTCTCGGGAAAATGATGGAAGTCTTGGAGGCCATCTCGCGGGCGGGGATCCTTGGATCCTACTCGAGCTCGCCCTGTCACGCCCATCTTGTGGCCCTCGATGGGCTCTCCTTCTCCGATTTCTTGCACACGCTATATATATATATATCCCTCTCCCGTCCTCCTCTTTCACCTCCTCCTCCTTTCCCCTCCCTTCTGTGCAAGAGCCATGGCACGCGTGCCATTTGCTGTTGATCCCCCCCTCCAGTCACCATTGGGGTTTGTTCAAATGAAGTGCTTCCCCCGGGGCTCGCACCCTGTTTTTAGAAAGAGTCACTCGGTTAAAACTGCGTTGTTGGTCCCCGGCTTGCAACAACAACGGCTCCCGCTTGAGAATTCCTCACATTTTTGCCAGGACCCCCGTTCCTGCCTGAGACTTCCTCGTATTTTACCCAAGAGTTCGCGCTCTCGCTTGGGACTTCCTTACACTTTATTCCGGAATCGCTTTCTCGGCGCTCTGGAGTCGCGCTCTCGTTGGAGACTTGCTTGCAATGTACTCAAGAATCGCGCTCTTGCACCCATGAGTCGCGCTCACGCTTAGGACTCCCTCGCAACTTCCTTAGGAATCGGGATCTCGCTGCCCGTCGTGGCCCCGTTGCAGACCTTCGTGGCCCCCTCGCTGCCCCTGGTGGCCCCCTTGCAGCCCTTCGTGGCCCCCTCGCTGCCCTTCGTGGCCCCCTTGCAGCCCTTCGTGGCCCCCTCGCTGCCCTTCATGCAGCCCTTCGTTGCCCCCTCGCTGCTCTTCGTGGGCCCGTTGCAGCCCTTCGTTGCCCCCTCGCTGCCCTTCGTGGCCCCGTTGCAGCCCTTCGTGGCCCCCTCGCTGCCCTTCGTGGCCCCCTATATGTATGCCCTTCGTGGCCCCCGCTCGTTCGCACCAGTCGTGGCCCCATGTGCATGCGCTTCGTGGCCCTGCTGTCGCCCTTGGTGGCCCCCTCGCTGCCCTTGTGGCCCCGTTGCTGCCCTCAGTGGCCCGGTCCTTGCCTTCTGCGGCCCAATATACGTATGCCCTTCGTGGCCCGCGCTCGTTCGCGCCCGTCGTGGCCCCACATGCATGCACTTCGTGGCCCTGCTGTCGCCCTTCGTGGCCCCCTCGCTGCCCTTCGTGACCCCGTTGCTGCCCTCAGTGGCCCGGTCCTTGCCTTCTGCGGCCCAATGTACGTATGCCCTGCGTGGCCCCCGCTCGTTCGCGCCCGTCGTGGCCCCACATGCATGCACTTCGTGGCCCTGCTGTCGCCCTTCGTGGCCCCCTCGCTGCCCTTCGTGGCCCCGTTGCTGCCCTCAGTGGCCCCGTCCTTGCCGTCTGCGGCCCAATCTACGTATTCTCTTCGTGGCCCCCGCTCGTTCGCGCCCGTCGTGGCCCCATACGCCTGCCCTGTGCGGCCTCGCTGTCGCCCTTTGTGGCCCCCTCGCTGCCCTGCGTGGCCCCGTGGCTGCCCTGGGGGGCGTGGGCCCCGAGCCCGGGAACCCGGAGTGGAGCTCGCCGCCCAGCGCCGAGGACCACACCTTCAACGTGCCCGGCGCCGCCTCGCCGGGGGCGCTGGGCACCTTCGCGCCGCAGCAGCCGGGCGCGATGGGCACCTTCGCGCCGCAGCAGCCGGCGATGGGCACCTTCGCGCCACAGCAGCCGGCGGGGAGCTTCGCCGGAGGATCGGCGGGCGGGCGGGCGGACCCGCTCACCCTCAGATCCCGGCGACGCGCAAGGGTCAGGGGCAACGATAGGGGGGTGGATCGGCATGGGGGGGGAGTCGACGCATCGACCCCTTTATATCGCCCATGGATCGCCGAGAAGGGCCCGATAGGCCCAGCATGCCCAGGAAGGTGCGGACTCACTATCAGAGGCCTATCGCCGATCTGTCGGCGATGAACCGCCGATGCCAGGTCGAGGCATCCCCCCCCCCTATGCCAGTCCCCCCCCTGTCGTTGCCCCCCCCCAAGGCTGGCGGCGGCCAGCTTTTGTGATAACTCCTCGGCCCCTCGAGATCCCTGGGGGTGCCCAGGATGTAGCAGTGCGGCGCATCGCCGTCGGGGGGCAGGGCGCCTCTCAGGCGACCGTTCCCCTGCCTCTGTCAAGGGGGGCAGCGGCAGGGGGGGAGTGGCTCATGTCAGGGGGGAAAAAAAACCCACAGACACAATTAATCGTCGATTCCTCAGAAAATATGCGAAAATATGGGAAGTGGGGGGGAAGACGAAAACCCAGAAAATATTTATCAGTGTGCATTTATTTGTGTGTCCCAGGGCCCCTTCACTCACGGGGGGGTCGAGAATTCAACCAGGGAATTCGCCCCAAACCCAGAATGTTCTGAGTCGACACCCGGCTCAGAGCGGATTCGCGAAGCCCGGAATTTCGATGGTGCCCTTTGTGTCCATGCCTCTGCGGCCCGTCTTTTGCCGTGTTTCCCTGGGCGCCCGCCGCCCGAGAAGTCCCAACCTCGGCCTCCAAGGGTTTTGCGTCCTCACCACCTGTCCTTAATGCACGTTTTGAGTATAAAGGGGCTGCCTGGGTCGGCGACTACAATTGGTGCGGTTACGCCAGGGTGCGGTGTGCGAGTTGCTTTGTGGCGGCCTTTCCGGGGCCCTTTGTGAGAGACAATGTCATAATTGTCGTCGTTCCGAGCGACCCTGTCATCCTCGATGTGTGCCCCATTGTACCAGGAGGAGCGACACTGTCATGTGATTCGGTCGCATTGAGTGACAGCGTCATCCGTTTCCCGGGGGCGGGAGGGGCAGATCAGACGGGAGGCAAACCGCGCCCTTCGCAAACCGCACCCATTGTAGTCGCCGACTGGGGGGCGGGGTCGCAAGGTACCAAGATGCACACGCCTGTGGCAAGATTCGCGGCAAGGATGGTGCGGGAGACAATCGTAAAGGCCCTTCGCCCCCAGCCCGCAACACAGAGGGTTAGTGGGCCCTGAAACGACAGGGCCGTTTTTTTACCGGTTCTGTTTTGCCGTTTTCTTGCCGGTTCCGACGCCGTTTTTTTACCGGTTCCGTCGCCGTTCTTTGACCGGTTCCAGCTCTGGCTCCAATCCTGGAGCCGTTTTTTGGCCGTTTCCGGTCGCTGTTTTTGTTGCCGTTTCCATCTTCAAGGGACATGTTTTTTGGAAACGGTGAAAAAACGGCCCTGCCGTTTCCGGGGCCCACAAAGCTCGGGGGAGCGTAAGACCCGGGTTTGCCAGGACGCGGGTTCGCCATCGTTTTTTGACGACCGCGCCTCGGATTTTGACGAGGAGTTCGTGGGATGTCTGCAGCGGGAGGCCTCGTCAAAATGCAGGCTCGGCCTCGTCATTTTTGTTGACGACCTCGTCGGGGATTTCCGAGTCCCCTGTACCCAGGTCTTACGTCCCCCTGATTGGAAGCCTCTTGCGACGCGACGTCTTGAGCGCCTTTTCGGCCGACTGGAGGCCATCTTGGGCGTCTTGGACCGGTCGTTCAGCGATTCGGGGACCACTTGGGCCGTCTCGGCGACTTCCTTGGGGTCCGGAAGATCGCCCCAGTGAGTCCCTTGAGGGGCGCGTGATGAGGGGGCGATAAGTTGGAGGGTGGGCAGCACGTTCCCCCGAAAAGCACACGCCTGTTTTCAGAGGGCAGCACGGTCAGAGCGCCACCGCCGGGTTTTGGAGGGAGCGAGTCGTCCTGGAGGAGGTCGAGCAGGGCAGGGGCGAAGAGGAGGGATCTCACGCGAGGACCCCGCCTGTCAGGAGGGGAACAAAAACACACAGACACAATGAATCGTCGAGTCCCAGGAAGATATGGGAAGCTATGGGAATTGGGCGGGAAGAGGAACACCCGGAACATATGGGAGCATATGGGGGGTCATTTTATTTGTGTGTATTTATTTGTGTTTTGGGGCCCCTTCAACATGGGAGAATCGCCGAGCGCGCTCCACCACCGAGCGAGTTCCGCTGCTTGCAGAGTGCCTACTCGCAAAAGCCTGAGCAAATCATGTCCTCCTCTGTGTAATGGATCGTGGATCCCTCGGGGCGGGTCCACGCTATTCTCGGGGGTGGACAGACCTCCTACCCTGACACGTCGATTAGTGAATTGTCCGTTTTCGGTTTTCGTGAGGGCGTCGCGGCCGTTCCGCTACAGTCGGGACCCTGAAGAAGGAACCCTTTTGGTTGGGGAGGGGCTCCGCGTTCCTGAAGTGCTTCACAGCTTGCCTCAGGTTTTCCTCATGTTTTCGATCGGAAGTCGGAGTTTAACTTATGGGAAAAAGGGGTCTCGTTCCTTATTTATCGTTCCTTAGGTCAACGCCCCGACTGTACTCGCAGAGTGCCTACTCGCAAAAGTCTGAACAAATCATGTCCTCCTCTGTGTAATGGATCGTGGATCCCTCGGGGCGGGTCCATGCTATTTGCGAGTACGCCGTTGCTTTGCGAGTAGTGGAACGCGCTTGTCTGGAGAGAAAAGAGAGACGTGGAGAGTGAAGAGGGGAGAGGTCTGCCAATCGCCCGCGACCGTCCAGGATTTCCGATTGGAGGACCCGCCGGAGCCCCGATGACAGGCGCGGGGGCGCCCGCTGCAGAGGAGGGGAGCTGCTCTTTCTGCGCACCGCCAGCGTGCTCCTGACCGCCTCCTGTCTTGCGCCATGCAGAGCACGTCAATCAAGTGATCGTTTTCTTATTTCTTGTTTTTGCCGATCGGCCATGCCCTCGCCCCCCCCCCTCCCCCTCCCTCATGGAGTAGATCTTGGCTGTTTTGGGCGCCTGTTTCAGGCAGGTGGAGCCTCCTCCACAGGACGCACTGCCGCAAACAGTCGCATTAAGCAGAGGTCCGGAGCCAGCCCCCCCTTTCCCCCCTTCCGCCCAATGTCGAAACGCCGAATCAGAAAATGCTCACCATTTGCGGATGTGAGAGTGGGGAGGGGGGAGGAGGACGAGGAGGACGAGGAGCAGGACCGCTACACTACCCCTCCCCCCTTTGCCTACCTCTCCCAGGTGGATCCGGAGATCAGAAAGGGCGTGTTCTACCGCTGCTGGCGGAAAACCGGGGGGGGTCACTACCGGTTCGAACCCCCCCCGCCCCTCCGGAAAACCAGGGGGGGGGTCACTACCGATTCGAACCCCCCCCCGCCCCCTCGAAAACCGGGGGGGATCACTACCGGTTCTAACCCCCCCTTCCCCCCCCCCTCGAACACCGGGGGGTGGTGCGGACAGTGGTGGGGACGGTGGTGGTGGGGACAGAGGTGAGGGGACAGCGGGACAGTGGTGGGGACAGTGGGACAGTGGTGGGGACGGTAGTGGTGGGGACAGTGGTGAAGGAAGTAGTGAGGACAGTGGTGGGACAGTATCACGGTGTGGAAAGTGGTGGGGACAGTGGGGACAGTGGGACAGTGATGGGACAGTGGGGACGCTGGGACAGCACAGTGCGACAGCGGCGGGAACAGTGGGACAGTAGTGGGTACAGTGGGGACAGTGGGACAGTGGTGGGGACCGTGGGGAAAGTGGGGAGAGTGGGACCGTGGTGGGACAATGGTGGGGAGAGTGGGGACATTGACACACTGGTGGGGGCACTGGTGGGGACAGCGGGGACAATGGTGGGAACAGTGGGGACAGTGGGACAGTGGTGGGGAAGGTGGTGGTGGGGACAGTGGTGTGGGGACAGTGGGAATGTGGTGGAAACAGTGGGAGAGGAGAAGGAGGAGGAGCGAGAGGGATCGAGATAGGTAAGAGGGCCTTGCCTGCAGGGGTCCCTCCCCGCCGAAAAAGTCAGAGGTTACACTACTGCGTCGAAAAGTTAACCTCTGACTTTCGTACTTCTCCTCACGACGCGAAAATCGAGGCGCTCCTAAGACCCCCCCCTCCGCGCGATGATATGATGGTGATTGCGGCGATGCGGGCGGCGACCAAGTGGGCAAACACTGGTGTTATTCATTCTAAGTAATAACAGGGGCAGCCGCTCTCACAAGCCCAGGCCAGTCCTCGTTTTCCAAATCGTTGTTTCTTCGCATGCTTCTGCGTCGTCGACAAAAATGATGGACACATTATGAGATGGAGCTGTCTACAACCACAAAAAAGTCGGTAGGTTGGGAAGTAAGGGATGGGGGTAGGTAGATGAGAGAAGGGTGAGGAGTAGGAGGATGCTGATGAGGAGGGGAAGGAGGAGGACGATAAGCAAAGTACCCTGGCATCTGTAACCGAATTCCTTGACAATCGTCTGGCAAGAAGATTCCGTCCCATCGCATCCTCGCGTTCTCGGCCCGTCCTCCGAGGATCCGGGCCTCCCAGGCGGTCACCACCCACCAAACCAGGGCTCGTTTCGATTTCTCCGATGCGATTCGACTCGATCTCGATGGTCGCCGATTCCGATTTGATTCGACTTCGGATTCCGATTTGGGCTCTGATTTCTCGATAGAAACCTACCAACCTGCCGATTTCCGCCGTTTCGACTTTTCCCGACTTGGCTGCCGAGTTCCGCCGATCCGAATCATTTCAATTGCCGATCCGACTTATTGATTCGATTCTGGATTCTTGTGCCCACCAAACCACCCCAACCCGACCCGGAGGCCACAATTTGCCCTCCACTCCCAGTGTGTGGGGGGGGCGGGGGTCGGGGTACAGTGCAAAAACACATTTGAAGCCCGTACCCCTCCCCCCACCCCGAAATTCGGGCCTTCGGGTTCTGTTGGGGTGGTCTGGCAGGCAGTCAGGCGGGGTCCACGCAGATGAGGTCGGAGGATCGTGCCGCATGGCCGAT